ACTATCTGATTCTTCCGAAATTGAAGCATCTTTGGCTCTTATTTTAGCTATTTCCTAGCATATTTTCAGGATATTTAAGATTTGTAGGAGTTAGTTGAGGGATAGTAAAAGTATTGGCCTCTTTACATTCCTGGGATTTAATTTCTCTCAATTTTGCGCGAAAAGATCTAGATATGATTTTTGCTGCTTTGTATTCCTAAACTGCAATCAGTGTCTCACCCAACGTCTTACGGTGTTGTGTCCAAAGAACTTGCTGCATTTCTACATCCTGTATTTCATCAATGAATGCCTGTATGCCAATTGTTTTTACTAAATTTTTGGGCTCCTTTAAATAGGCTAGATGCAGTAATATTTTTCTATCGGCCTTGAATTTTATAAATTTTAATTTTGTTATTAACGACGAACCATTAGCTGGCTTTGGAACACCTCTTTTAAATGCTGCTGATTAAACTTTGACTCCAAAGCTTGAACGAGAGACGAATAACCGGCTTTCTCCTGGGGAAGTAACTCAAAACGGTTTCTTCTTCTTCTCCTCGCAGCGACACTTTCAAGGAAACTGAAATCTGTTTCTCGGCCGAGCCATTTGATCTATCTGCAGCTTCAAATTAAAGTCGATACGTTTCCTATGTTTCACTTTTTACTTTCCTATCTGTATACAGATATAAGGAAAGTATAGGAATAATGATTTTTTTCGATCTCGAGTTTTCGACGGATTTTTACGTTTTGAGGTCCCCTGAATCCGTTTTGACTATTTTCGCGATGATGTCTGTGTGTGTGTGTCTGTGTGTCTGTATGTCGTATAACTCATGAACCGATAAACAGAAAAAGACCAAATTTTAAACTTAAGCTTTATTCCAGCGTCGAATGAACTGATTAGATTTTGGGCAGAGTCGGAACATCTGGGGGTACTTTATAGGTGGTCATTTTTATATTTTATGGAATATATCTGTTATTTACGTTTGGAGAAGAAAATTCTTCAAATAAAAGTTACTTCTTATATAATTATCTATAATTTTTGCTTTATACAAAATTTTCCTGAAATGGTCCGTATTCGAGAAATTTGACAAAATGTAAAAAAAATAATTTTTTATAAAAATTGTTTAAATAAAAGTTGTTTTCAATATAATTCTCTATAATTTTTATTTTATACATAATTTCTCTAAAATGGACCGTATTTGAGATATTTAAGAAAATGTGTAAATTTCGAATTTTGAAGAAAACTCAAAAACGGATAAAGAAAAAAACATTAAAGTTTAAACTTAAGGTTTATTTTGGCCTGACGTGAAATGATTAGATTTTGGACAAAGTCGGAACATCTGGGGGGTACTTTATGGGAGGCCGTTTTTATATTTTATGGAATATATGTTATTTATGTTTGGAGAAGAAAATTGTTCAAATAAAAGTTACTTCTAATATTATTATCTATAATTTTTGCTTTTTGTCAAAATTTCCTGAAATGGTCCGTATTCTAGAAATTTTAAAAAATGTGGAAAATTCTGATTTTTATGAAAATTGTTGAACTAAAAGTTATTTGCGATATCGATTTCTATAATTTTTGTTTATACATGATTTTTCTAAAATGGACAGTAATGGAAAAGTGCTAAATTTAAATTTTTCAGTATTTTCGTTTTCAATGAATATTTATAGAAAAATGTTTCGAGGTAGATGTATGTGGACAATATATATATTTAGTTTATCCTCTAAACATTTATAGAGATGCTGCAATAGGTTGTACAAAATAACCGGAAAAAGCCTATAATAACTAGATAGGAAAGTCATGTGTTGGACACATCAGATTTTTGTACTAATAATAGACTATTTTTGTTTATACTGACAATACAATTTTTAATAGAATTCGTAATTAAAAAGTATACAAAGCACTATATTTATTATTTATTTTGCTTTTAAAGTAAAAGTAAGTTATTTATATTTTATTATTTTGTTTTAATTTGGTTGTTTAAATTTTATTATAGTTTTTTATATAGTTAGTTTTATTGTAAATACAATTTATGCTACTAACTAAACTGTAATATAGTATCAGAACAGTATTCTTCTTTTATCTGATAAACTATTTTTTATCTAAAAATTTGTCCAAAAAATGAATTAAACACAACACAATACTTGGTCTAGGCCTCAAATTGTATTTTTTCACATTAAATTTTAAAATATTGTGTCTTTTGAAAATCGTATTAAAATTTTAACGTTAAGCAAGAACTTAGGAGATATGAAAAAATGCCAAGCAAAGTCCTTAAACTTACTTGTAAGGTTTAGGTTTAGTACACTAGTCCATTTAAAATAACGGTAAAAGGTCGAGGAACGCCGCACTTGACGAGACCACTTGTCCCCTTCGTATTTTGGGACGCTGACTACGAAAATGAGGGTTAAAACTGGCAGCAATGATTAGAACACTCCTAAAATTGCAAAAAACACCCCTAATAGGGGTGTTCCAACCATTGCTGCCAGTTTTATCCCTCATTTTCGTAATCAGCGCCCCAAAATACGTAGGGGACAAGTGGCTCGTCAAGTGCGACCTTTTACCGTTATTTTAAATGGACTACACTTGGTCATGAGTTTTATGCAAAATATTAAATAAAACAGACTGACTAGGACAGAATTAACGCTGAAATATTTAAATTTTAAAACAGTTTTGACAGCTCTTTGTCAACTAAAACATTGCTTCTAAGGGTGGGAAAAGGCGTTGACTAGCGTTTGGTATTTGAACGGTACATCAGGATGGAGAAGGAAATAGAGTATGGAGTTCCGCAAGGCTCTGTCTTAGGACCCATACTCTTTAACATATACATAAATGGATTATTCCAATTGAAAACTAAGGGCAAAATTATTGGATTTGCCGATGACACAGCCATCTTTTTATAAAGAAAATGATTGGCAACGTCTAAAATTAATAGCAGAGTCTGATTTTACTCTTATTTCAGAATGGTTACAGCACAAATTACTTACACTAAATATAGAAAAAACGAACTATTTACCTTTTAGTTGTAACTCAGTAGGACTTCCAAATTTTAAGAAATTTTGCATTGATAGTGGAAGCAGAGAAGTGATGATTCTACTTGTTAAACAAATAAAATATTTAGGTATTATTATAGATCCTCACTTAAAATGGGACTTACATATATTTTACACATTAAATAAATTGAGAACTATTTTATATAAATTTAGAAAAATTAAAGAAGTCTTACCTTCACAACATTTAAGAAAACTGTATTATGCACTTGTAGAAAGTCATCTTCGATATGGAATATATGCCTGGGGGGCTGCCTTTAAATCCCATATAAAATGCTTAGAAATAATTCAAAGAAAATTTCTTAAAATAATGTGTGATAAACCCTCTAGATATCCATCTGATTCTCTTTACTTGGAAACAAATATACTCGACTTGAGACAATTATATTTTATGCACGCCTGCTCCTATTACCATATAAAATGTAAAAATTCAGCAACTGTTTTAGAGCACAATTATAATACTCGCCAAAAAACAAATTATATAGTTCCTCGTATGATAAAAACTTCTACGCAACATACGTTTACATTTTCTAGCGCCGAAACTCTACAACACCATACCGGCAGAAATTAAATCTATTTTAAGCAAATTTCTTTCCAAAAACAAAATTTTAAATTTTATTATTCAGAATCCGCGAATTACTTTCCAAAGTCTTTTTGAGTAATACATTTAACATCCTTCCACAGTGATAAATTCATATTCTGATCCAATTGTGTAAGTTTTATGTTTTTTGAATGTGTTTATATCACTAAGATAATATTTTACTATAACTATAATTAAAATTATCTATTTTTATTGATGTTATTGTTGTTATTATTGGAATGATATTGTTATTATTTGATAGGTATTAAAAATCGATCAAGCATAAGTTTTACATTAATTTATGTTTGTTCGCAATCTGTGAAATTACATATATTTTTGTTGTTTTTTTGCCGAAACAAGTATCTTTATGCTTATCGGCTTTAGCTTTATTTAATTTATAATTTTCTTGTTATGATTGTATACATTCACTATGGTTTAAATAAAGCTTATTTATTTATTTATTTATTTATTAATTATTATTTATACATCAAAGAGAAGCTTGGATGTGTTTAGTTTGGTGTGGTGTCCAATGCAACACTAAAAATCCGGTGTGGACGATGCAAATAATTTCTATTGCTTTCCAATTCTAATGCCAACGAAAGCACAGGTGCCGTTGGCATTAGTCTACGTTGGAAATTCAGTCTGTACAAGACTTAAGGCATGGTTTCAGTAAGGTACTAGGACGTCTTACTCGGTTTTCGGTGATGTCGTACATTGAAGTAAATACATAATCAAACATGAAATTTGTAAAATTAAATAATTTCCAAAATGTATTGGATTATTTATTTGTTGAATGAGATAATATCAAAAATACTTAAAAACAAGTACAATGACGGCGTGGGTGGCTCAGTGGTAGAGTCTCTGCCTGCGGATCCAAGGGTCCCAGGTTCGAATCCTACCGTTGGCCGGGATTTTTTCATTTAATTTAATTATTTAAAATTCTGATGCCTTGGTAGGATTCCCCACTCGACCATTCACTGTTGGGTACTAATAATAACAGTGCTGTTCCTAAAGTGGCGCTGGGAAATAGTAACATAGCCTACACAGAACAGGATGCTAATAACCGTAGCAGTTAATGCCGATGACAAAAAAAAAGAAAAAAAAAAACACAAGTACAATGATTTAAATTTATTCACATAGGTATTTTTTCATTCCTAATTAATTTAGTTGGCTTTATATGGAAATTCACAAGTAATTTATTCTTCATTATAAACTATTTCTTTTATTATCCCTGCATATCGCGTATATTTTACCAAATTTAATAAATAATTATGGATTCCAAAGTGATGCTGAACTTTTTAGGTATCAAGAATATTTTTTTTGTGAAATGTAAATTAAAACTTTTCCCCATTTTTTGGACACCCTGTATACAAATTACTTTTGTTTTTATTTTCAGAGAGCTTTAACGACAAGAGTACATGGTATACATCTGTTAAATGCCCCCAAATATTTTGATCAAGTTGTCATGTTAGTCAAGTCCATAGTTAAACAAAAAATGGCAAATAAGGTATGTAGGTATTAACTCTTTAATGATACCGTTTAACACTGGATATACATTTTTTTTCTACGCACACATGGATATCTACAAAAAAGTATGCTACTGTATCCAACTGAACGAACATATTTTATATCCATTCTATGTAGTGAGTATGAAGACTAGAGATAAGGAGGCGACTCGGCATACTCAAACTACGGTCCCAAAAAACGCACGCTAATTGAGCTTTTATAATTATTACCCGCATGGACGCTAGTACTGCATACGGTGTTTAAAATACATGGCTTCTTATGGGAACTATACATAATTTTGTCAAAATAATAAAAATAAATTTGTTTATAGCTAAATAAAGTACAGAACATACTGTTAATTTTATCTATTTAAAATACGAATTAGGTAGGTATGACCAAATTCGAAAAGGTTTGTTAAAACGCTTAAATTTGATAAGTACAATTTTGTAACAAAATTTTATTGAATTAAACCTATATATAGTTTTAAGAGCAAAATAAAACAGATTTTTTATTGTTCTAATACAAATATAATGGGAGATTTGGGAATGTACATGGTATTACCTGATCCTTTAATTTCAGCTTTATACTTTTTATTTTGCTAACAGTACCATCAGTAAAAGTAGTCTCATAATATTTGATAATATCTTCTAAAAAGTATAAAACAGCATCATCTCTAGAAAGTGCTTTATCGGCACTAGGAACGATATATATGCTGCCACTGTTATAAGCGTTTAGTATCCTATAAATAACATTTACAATTGGGATTCAACAAAATAAATAACGGTAGCAACTCTTTATCTAACATTAAAACTCTATAAAAAATAAATTTTCTTTTCTAGTATAATTTATTGTTGTTTGTAAATAAGTATCTATGACTGTAAAATTTTGTATTATAGAAACTTGTAATAAAATAAACTTTACTCCGTTTGATAATATTGTAACTAGTTAACGATAAATATTATATTTAGATATAAATATATTATTTTTCTCACATTAAAAGCTTTAAAACGACATTGAATTGATTTCTCCTTGTGTTTGTTTTAGTTTTACATTTAATTTGTATCCTGTTTTATATTCTGGAACGACGTAAATCTAGCTTTGATGTTTTTTGTCACTCATTTTACTAATACTCAGGTACACTTTTTTTAACAATATTTTGAGTTTTTTCACCAATTTACATTTACATAGAAAATTGACACCGCTTTTGTTCGATATGCCATCGACATGCCATCTACAGTCAATTTTAGAACCAAGAACGGATATGGGGATTGACTTATATCAATGAAAAGGTCAGAATACAAGCTTTACTTTGATCTAGTTATTAATCCTCAAAAAATAAGGAGCGAGGAACAAGAAATGGTTAATTTTTTTCAAGGTCGTTATCAACATTGTCCTTGTTTAATAAATTTTCAACGTCTAGTAGAAATCCAAATTTGAAATTAAGGTCACTTAATCGTCTAAATCGTGTACATATTTCTTATTGGAGACGATCAAGAATGCTTTTCATAACGTGAGAAATTTCACTTTCTGCGGAAAGACCAACATCTCTAGCCAATTCTCCGGTTATTTTTCGACGTCTTTTTACACGTCTTGTTGTATCAGTATCCCATTTTTCACAAAGAAACTTCGCTTTTTTTATTACCTCTTCACAGAGCTTGTCTAGAATTTCGGCTAGTTCAGTTGTTAAAGATTCAAGATTATGGAACGCTTTTCTAAAATGCATTCTATGATCTTGTAATCTGAGCTGCACACGATAAATCCTCCTTAAGATTTCATACCAGAAATTAACTAAAGTTATGAAACTAAAACATATATTTTGCAACACAATTGTTGCTTCACTTCTGGTGTTACTTGTAGTGGTAGTGTCCTTTGCTCATTTTTGATTTCTACAATGTACATTTTTGTATGATTAGTTTACCCTTAATTTCATCCCTTACTGAAGGGGAGCAACCCTTTCGAAAAATTTAAATGGCATGGGATGGTATGTGATAGCTCATTTGAAAGGGGATTTTATTCTCTATTTAACCGTGCAAAAAATTTTAAAATTTGCTTCATTACGTGTTGATTTATTAATGTTTAAAAATAACAAAACCTCACAAAATAGGAAAGCAACTAAACTAACAGTGACCTTCTAATGGCAAAAAGTCTTACTTCACGTCTGAGCCAAAACCGAAATCATGCAGGGCCGCATTTTAATTCTAACGATGAGTGCGCTACGTTAATTTCCGTTATTCTGAAACAACAATTAGTCGAGAATTAATGAAGCAAATTTCAAAAATTTTTACATGGTTGAATAGAGAATAAAACCCACTTTCAAATGAGCTATCACTCACCACCCCATGCTATTTAAATTTTTCGAAAGGGTTGCTCCCCTTCAGTAAGGGATAAAATTAAGGGTAAACTATTCATACAAAAATGTACATTGTAGAAATCAAAAATCGACGTGTCTCAGCGATTTTCCTAACAAGACTCCAGTAACGAGTTAGATAGGGGGGGTAAGACTTATGGTGCTCACTGTATTCCATCGATGATAACGCTAACCGCTTGTATTTTGGCGCTCCATCGTGTTTCAGATTCACGTTTGATAGTTTTTGTTAAAGCATTTTTTAATAATTCACATCGTAACGTTGAACGTGAAAAAAAAATATATATGTTTTCAATTATTCTATAACATGTCACAACGATTGGATCTTGTTTAGCTCCAGTGACTCCTACCAAATTTAATGAATGGTTATTACAATTTACAAATAATGCTCTATGATTTTTTTCCATTATTCTTTGTTGAACGCTAGATGTGTGACCTGCCATCACGGTAGCATTATAGTAACATTCTGAACTGCAGTTTGTTAATAAAATTTCATCGGAACTTAATTTCTCTAAAATTGTATTTTCGATCGAGGCTGTATCTTTAGCATGTATTTCAATAAAACCCAAAAAATATTCTTTGATGGAAACTTTTTTATTGATAAAATTAACATCTACATACCTAACGACTTGGAACATTTGTTCTCGATGAGAGATATCAGGAGTTGAATCAAACAAAAGTCCATAATATTTATTTCTTTTGTTTATTAGTTGATTTCGAATTGTAGATGCCAGAAAATGAATAAATTTATTTTGAATCTGTGGTGACAAATATGAGACAGTTTTTGGAGTTTCTGTGGCATGTTTAAGATGATTTGCTAGTAGCGGATCAAGTCTAAGTAAAGATACTAGGTTTCCTACATTTGTACCATCTTGTGCTAGTTTTTTAACATAGCCAGGTAGAGAAAGATTTTGTATAATTAAAAACCTCATGCAAGCTAATATTCTTTGCAATATAATTCGCTACCGTCCTTTTGTGGACTGAATGTTCGCTTCTAATGATACATCAATTCCCGTTCCACTTATTAATCTTCGTTCTGTTTTTTTTTTCAAGCCATAAGTGATTTTCGGTGATTTGGACTTCCTTCATGGCTAATCAATTTATTTATAATTTCTATTATGAATATAATATTACAGTTTGATTTAGACTACAAGTTTTCCTTTTTTTTTTTTCTTCTTTTTATTTACGAATTAACATTTATTAAGCTATTGCATAGCTTTTATCACAGGCTTTGAGCGCGGTGACCGAATCAAGAAAGAAAAAACGAAACTGTAACGAAAAAAAACCTAACACCCCCACTCCTACCATCACAGCGGTGCGGCGTTAAACAATATTAACTTCTCATTTATTCAATAAAAGAAAATCGAAAAATCGAAAAATCGAAAAATCGAAAAATCGAAAAATCGAAAAATCGAAAAATCGAAAAATCGAAAAATCGAAAAATCGAAAAATCGAAAAATCGAAAAATCGAAAAATCGAAAAATCGAAAAATCGAAAAATCGAAAAATCGAAAAATCGAAAAATCGAAAAATCGAAAAATCGAAAAATCGAAAAATCGAAAAATCGAAAAATCGAAAAATCGAAAAATCGAAAAATCGAAAAATCGAAAAATCGAAAAATCGAAAAATCGAAAAATCGAAAAATCGAAAAATCGAAAAATCGAAAAATCGAAAAATCGAAAAATCGAAAAATCGAAAAATCGAAAAATCGAAAAATCGAAAAATCGAAAAATCGAAAAATCGAAAAATCGAAAAATCGAAAAATCGAAAAATCGAAAAATCGAAAAATCGAAAAATCGAAAAATCGAAAAATCGAAAAATCGAAAAATCGAAAAATCGAAAAATCGAAAAATCGAAAAATCGAAAAATCGAAAAATCGAAAAATCGAAAAATCGAAAAATCGAAAAATCGAAAAATCGAAAAATCGAAAAATCGAAAAATCGAAAAATCGAAAAATCGAAAAATCGAAAAATCGAAAAATCGAAAAATCGAAAAATCGAAAAATCGAAAAATCGAAAAATCGAAAAATCGAAAAATCGAAAAATCGAAAAATCGAAAAATCGAAAAATCGAAAAATCGACAAATCGAAACATCGAAAAATCGAAAAATCGAAAAATCGAAAAATCGAAAAATCGAAAAATTAAAAAATCAAAAAATCGGCACGGTGTTTGTGTGCGTGCGACTAGACGTATGCGTGTAGACTAGCTGCTAACTGATTCTATCTCTTTTAGACACAATTTCGGAAAAATTGAATTTGAAAATGAATAATGATCCACAAGAATTGACAACAAAATATGGGACCACCGTTGACGCGGTATTTTCCAGATATTTAGAGGATATCAAGTCTCAAACTTATGTTTCTTATTTCAGTTACCATAAACCTATAGTTTCAATGATAACAATTCCTGAATAACCTACATGTATTGTAAGATAATAAAAAATTTTTAAACAATATTTATTATTTATTATTCAATAAAGAAAATTTTTTATTGGTCACCACGCTCAAAAAATGTAAATTGAATTAATATCAAAGCAAAAACTTGAATTAATGTCAAAGAAAAAAAAATGCATAAATAAAATAAATAAATAATTATAATTGCATAAGTTGATAAAAAATATTATGCAATAGCTTTACCGCGGCAGTCCCCGATGCCACACGTATTTTTATATTACACTGACACTAAATTTAAAATATATTTTCCGGAAATCAATTACAATAAAAATTAAAATTATCCAGCAATTTTTTGTTTTGCAGACCATTTGGCGCCCCTTTGTGAGTAGCGTCCGGGGTATGATGCCCCCTTTTGCTCTCCCCTCGCTACGCCACTGACTGTAATACTTCCATCCTTTCGTTGCTTCAAAGTCTAAAAATGATTGCTTTTCCAACCCCGATCATATTTGAACACTTAGAAACTATACTCCGAAGAGTACTATTAAAATGTTCATGTACAGAGTGTTATTTACATTTAACACTAAAGTTTTCATATGCACTTTAATTTTAAAGGAGTATAATTAGACGTTTGTGTCATTTTTGTTGCACAATTCACTTGAATAATATCTCTTTTTATCGCCTAATATTACAGAACTAACAATTCTGCGTATGTTACAATCACAGGATTATACAAACAGAAATTTAAGTCCTAACTAAAATAATTTACAATCTGCATAACACTTTCTGTCGATTAGAAATTTTATTTCTTTCTAAGAAAGTTGAGGGCTACTTAAATTGATCTTGAATTGTAAATATTTTCTACCTGTAGACATTACTACGAAGGCGTAGAAGGGCCACATAGTAAAAAAAAATATATTTCGACTTTAAAGTCGAAATTCCGACTTCAAACTCGAAATTTTGACTTTAATCTCGAAATTTCGACTTGAAACTCGAAATTTCGACTTTAATCTCGAAATTTCGACTTTAATCTCGAAATTTCGACTTTATTCTCGAAATTTCGACTTTATTCTCGGAATTTCGACTTTAATCTCAAAATTTCGACTTTATTCTCGAAATTTCGACTTTATTCTCGAAATTTCGACTTTAAACTCGGACCATTATAGTAACGGGGTAGGTCTATTGTTTCTGGACTGATATTATTTCATGTTAATCCAAATTATTGTTTCATTCCAAGAATACAATTTTAGTTCCTATTGTTTTAATTTTGTTTTAATATTCTATAGTTTGTTTTTTGGTTTTTAATAAAAATGTTACACAGAATTACAATTTTTATTTCCTTCAAACATTATAAGCAAATATACAAAATAACATGTTTAATATAGTAATACAATCAGTTATAAATATCTGTTAATATAGTTCTAAGTCGAGAATAAAGTTCGACTGCATCATACGGGTCACATTTATGTGACAATCCATTTTCAAGCATGATTATATTACATAAACGGTAAAAATCTTCATCACATGGGAATTTTAAAATTATACATTCTGTTGCAAGGGCATCTATAGCAAAAGTTGGTACTTCGAGCAGATAACTTTTTGTTTGAAACAACGTTGGCATTTCATACATAATACATGGTCTGCCAAATGGCATAATACTATTTCTTGAACTTCTTATTTTGTGAACATTCCACTCGAGCTTAATGCGATCAAGGTCTCCCTAAAAAATAAAATTACAATAATATGGAAAGAGTAAACAACTTAAAAGAAGAGAAAAAAGTAAAGAGGCATATATAATTATTTCTTATTATTTTGAAAAATATTGTACTTTTTATTGTGATATAGTATTAAATTAGGCTTAAACTATGCCAGTTTGTAAAGTATTTGATTATTTTGTATTTACGTTTAAATTGGGAAAGATATAGAATGCTTGGTCAAGTGACCAAGTTTTTGGTTTACATTAATTTTTCTAGCGCTCTAATTTGTGGTCTTTGTTCAACTATAAACATTATTGTTATGTCAAATAAATATTTTAAATTTTTTTTACCTGTACGAGGTTCATAAAACAATACTGAATTAATGATTTGTCCGTAAATCCTCCATCAAACAAGTTTTCTTCTTTAAGCATCTCAAATAAGTTCATCCAAAATATTGGATTGAATGCACAATAGTGCATTATGTTTTCGAACTATTGACCACCAAGCCTCAATTCTTTGATTATGTACTTCTTCCATATAAAAATGGTGGCATTGTTAGGATAGATTCATTAAATAATTCATGTAAAGCTTTTTGAATACGTTCAGTTACAATATTTTCAGTGCCTTGATCACTTCTTACAGTTCTTGGACATCCACCAACCATTTTAATTGATTCCATGTAATAACCACCAATCACCTATAAATTCGAAGAATATTTAAGCTAAATATTTTACAACTTATACTTATCCGATTAAACAAGGTGTGTAAAATACAGTACAATGGAAATTTTAATATGGCAACTCTTTGAGCCATTTTATTTAATATTATTAACTGAAAATCATGGTAAATTCTGTTTGCGCAAATTCTGTTTTATTTTTTTATTTTTTGTATTAGAAAAATATAGTGTTATTAATGATATTGGGGTTTTCCTCCTGGGTCATAAAAGTTGTGCTTTAATTCATTTTCAAATAAACTATAGTGGGAGAGGATATAAGATGCGCGGGATGGTAAGATGCCTTGATACTATTACTCGTGAAGATAAGCCCACTTGACGATCCAATTTCGACCACGTTTGCGCATAAACGTCGCCCGTTGACAACAATCCATCTCGTGGGCATGGAAAAGCATTACGCTAGAGTGGTTTTAATCAATATTTTATGTTTATTTATTATAATATTGTTATATTATTTTTATAATATTGATATATTATTAAATTAAATATTTTTTGGCTTGCCTAATCATCTTAAAATATCCCAAAACGTGTAAAAAAAGTATTATGAGCAAAAGAGAACATTTTTGTCTATCGGTATTCACCATAACTTTTAAAGCGATTGCGCTATAGATAGGTGTTATTCCATCGGATTGGAATATTTTTAAGTAAAATTGGTAAAGGGGAAGGGAGTGAAATTTCGAGGAAAATGGTAAACAATTGCAATTTTTCGTAAAAAATCGAGTAATATGTCGTTTTATAGGTTTCTGGCTATGGACATTTTGATTTTGTAATCCGTTTAATATTTTAATAGATAATTAGAAAAAGAGTTAATAGGGGAGGAGTAAAAATTTAAAACATTTAAAAAAATCGAGTAGTCCCGTACTATTTTAATTTTAACATTCATTTAGTGATTTAATAAAAAAAGACAGGTAGGGGTTTTAGGAGAGGGGGTAAAAATTCAAAATATTTGAAAAAAAATTCGAGTTAATCTTATTTTAGAGCTAGAACTAGAAGTACCTATAGACATTTTTATTTTACAATCAAATTAATATTTTTATAAAAATTACGGATGAATGTAAAAAAAGGGGTAAAAATTAAAAATGTTTGCATAAACAAGTAATAAATCGTCTTAAAAGTTAAACAGCAACAGAAATTTGGCAGTATTGATTCAGTTTGCAGCAGTATGTTTTTGGTTGTTATTGTTTGAGTAACCTACTACTGCACTGTGTATACCATAGTAAATGTTTAAAACAATGTTTTTAAATATAACATGGAAAGTTTTACGCACGTTTACTTCTAAAACCCAACAAACCAAAAAAACAAAATTAAATAATCAGTAATACACGCAAAACCGCTTTGCGCCGTATAGAACTGGCTGTTGCTAAGTCGGGTAGTCTCCCAGTGACGTCAGGCGTGCGAGAGAGATAGGCTGATCGCATGCGCGTGGGTTTATCTTCTTAAGTAATAGTATCATGGTAAGATGCGAAGGTTAAACCACTGAGGATGTAGGTGTAAAAAGAGGAGGATTTACGAGGATGTATGAGGATGTATGAGGATGTATGAGGATGTATGAGGATGTATGAGGATGTATGAGGATGTATGAGGATGTATGAGGATGTATGAGGATGTATGAGGACGTATGAAGATGTATAAAGATGTACCAGTATGTACAGGAATTTACAAGGATTTATAGGAATTTCCCGAGGATGTATCTTACCAGGGTACAAAATTATTTACCAATAATTTATTTTTCACAAAAATATACAAAATTTTAAATTGCGCTAAATAGGCTATGAGAGTAGATTTACCTGTGAAAAATGAGAATAAAGGTAAAACTTGGTACATTGATCCAATTCGATGTCCTGATGATATCTATTCAATTACCTGCTCCCGGCTATCTGGCTTGCATTTTTAAGGGTGTTTTTTGAAAGCTGCGCAAACGGCTAATCTTAAATTAAAAATTCTTGTCCATTCATCAGCTAGAGGATATCTGTGGGGTTCGATTAGAAGAACACATCTACGTCATTGTTAAAGTAATTTGTTGGATATTTGGATATTTAACTTTTGGGGTTCTGTCATTATAGACCCTACTTTAGGGAGTATTCTGTATTCATTTAAATATCACCTGTCAACCATTTCCGTAGTTCCCTTTCTAATCCAAACACCCCGTATAATTCCTTATTACGGATAAAGGAGATGTTGGGCGTTTGGTTGCTGTTTCATGCTCTAATTTTCCTAGTATTTCAGTCAAAAAGCTTCTAATTAGGCAACTTTACTGCACATCTTTAAAGAAGCTGTTTCAGTTCCCTTAGGCAAATGGAATATTATGTTCAAAGAACGTCAAGTCTCTTCCAGACTTCAAAAGCGGGATATCAATACACATTGTTGTGTTACTTCAGAATTATTCTCATTGAATTTATTATGTAATAAGGAATTGGAAATATAATTTGATGAATCGTTTACAGATTTATGACATCTTTTAAATTAATTTACGAATTTTTTAGATTTATCTTCATAAAGATATGAATTCTGTTTTAAATTCAATTGATAAACAAATATTGCCAAAAGATTATGGAGGTAACGAAAAGTCATTAGATGAATTAGAAGGTGAGATTTGTTTTTACTTATAAACAGATTTAATTTTGTTTTTGGGATTCTATTGAATTATGAGTTGAAGTACGATGTACAAAATCTAAACTTTCTATGTAAATGTAAAATAGTTATATTTGTTTTATATTCCACAGGGGTAAAACGTTACAAAATAGATCTCTAAATCTTTTAAGGTTTAGAAATCGTAACTTTCCTATTGCTGTCTTGTTTTTTTTTAGCTTTATTTTAATTTAATTGATAAACTAATTTATAAGATTTGGCTTACAGTATTTTCCAACCTAATTCAATAATACTTAAAGTGCCCGGGCTATTGCTTTTAAATTTGACTGGTACCGACAATTTCATATAGGTACTTCACATTAAAGATTTTTGTAATAATTGGACCAAATACTCAACAGACTTGATTTTCTCGTTGTCTTGCGACTCTTGCTAATTTGTAGCGTCTTATTATATTACTAAAAGCGTAACTGCAAAACGAGACATTTTAATTAATAAAAAATCAATATGAATTTAATATGTAAACGGTATCAAGAATATGATTTTCTGGCCCTCAAGTACTGTAACCGCCCAACCCATTTTTGTTTAAATGTCTGAAATCCTATTATTTACCTCTCAAATTTGTTTAACTTTAAATTCTGTAATTACTGTCTTTTCCCTCTAGTAGTAGTAGTGATCATCTAGTTAACTAATTCATAATTTATATAAATAAAAATTTCCTTGGTTTATTCAGTCTTTTTTTAATTTTATTTTCAATTGTCTACCACACTACATATGTTTCGGAAAACTTTTCCATCTTCGGGTGCAGTCATAAAAATATTTAAAAAATAAAACAGAAACCCCATCTTTCTAAAAATGTATTCGAGATATTGATTTGGTTTAACACGATAAAGTAGGAAAAGAAAGAGATGAGTTTTTACAAATTTTAAAAATTACCAGTGGCATTACAGTCAAGGACAAGAAAGCTTACAATTATTTAATAATATTGAAATAAACGTTTGACAAATCTTTTATGTCCGTTTTATTATTTACAAAGTTGTTATTTTTTTTTAATATATATCGTCTCAAGGATTATTTTTCTGTTTATATTTTGTTCATTTTCGAGAATTCTTACATTTTTAAAATCGAAAGATAAATTTTCTAACGCATGTTTAGGTAAGGCAGTGAAATTTTCATTATTAGTTGTGTGACGGTCCACCCCCGGCCCTCTCTTTATTTGATTTGTTCGTTGTTTTTATTTTATTTTACTCTCTGAAATGTTATTATTTACCTCACAAGTTTTACTTTAAATTCTATACTTACTGCAATTGGTATTTTTTCCTCTGGTAGTTAAAGTGATCGTCTAGTTAATTAATTAATAATTTATATACCCACGTTGTGATAATGTTAATTAAGGTAAACAAACCAGAATCCGATGCAAAGTTTGGTGCAAATTGATAAATAAAATTAGACAAAATTATATTTAAATTCTTTTATTTTTCATACTTTAAATATGATGCAATAATTAGCAAAGTATATTACAATTGTTACTATTTACTGAGATCTCAATTGAGTCCCGTTCAAACACAGACCATAATCATTTGCTGACAATATATATTTTATTTAGGTTGATGACCAACGGAGTTAACCAACAGCGTCAATTCGCCAGTTGATTAACTACTATGTTGTTGTTTATGTTATTATTTAAGTTGATGTCCAACGAAGTTAACGAACAGCGCCAATTCGCCAGTTGGTTAACTATTGAGTTGATGTTGATTTGATTATATTCTAGATATATACAGGTGACACCCTCTTAGGTAAATATTTCGATGAGTAAAGAGTTGATAACCAACGCAAGTAACGAACAGCGCTAATTCGCCAGTAAATTACCTTACTATGTTGATTTCACATATACTTTGTTTCAAACCTAGTAGAACGGTTTGCTTAGCGTATAGGTGTCCCCCCTTGAGCTAACAAACAGCGTAATTGCCAGTTGGTTAACTTACTATTAAACTTTACCATCTTGGTTTGTACAATTTATCCAAGATAGCACATCCATGTATATTTCTAAAATATTGATTTTTATAATTTCTATTGAGTTAACTTAATACAACCCTGTATATTTTTTTATATTGATTATTATAATTTCTATTTAAATTATTTAATACAACCCTGTATATTTCTTAATATTGATTATTATAATTTCTATTGAAATACTCAAAAAATTACCCATCGAAACAAATGTCTATCCTAACTATCTTTTAGGGTGTATAACCTGAAGGTCATGTGGTTTATTGGTTAAATTGATAGTATTTTGTAGCAAATCGATACCTTTTTGCCAGACTAACGTAAGTGCCATTTGTTCAAATAGCACTTACGATAGTCTGGCAAAAAGGTATCGAAATGTCAAGCTGCCCTTAAACGAAACCTCGGTGGTATCTCAGAGAAAGTTACATAAATCTTTTGACTCACCATTGAAAATACAGACATTAGATTATGTACTAATTTTATCTAGCGTTGTGACGGCGTCGATTTAGGTACGTCGAAGTAGCGTTGAGCGTCGAGGCGCCTAGCGTCGTGGTGGAAAGAAAGGTATTTAATACGGTACGGTACGGTACGGTACGGTACGGTACGGTACGGTAGGACGGCAGGACGTTGGGCGTCGAGACGTTGACACTTTCGGGGATAGGAGGTAATGTAGGATAGACGTCGTTTAGGAAGAGCGTTTTAGGAAAGATACTGACTACTAAACTTGAAATATATTTGGATACAAATAATAAATAAATGCTTGCACAACAAATAAATAAAAATGAATGAATCCGAGCTCATTTGGGTCTGGCTTTTTACAATATCTTTAGTTTTTATCGAAAATAATGTGGGTGCAGGGGGTGGCATATTTATCGCTTGCCTTGAAAGCTTTGTGTATCAAAATATTTTCGAAATCGGTCTTAACATCGAAACTAGAAAGATAAGCGAGTTAAGTGTTTTAATGATAATTACTTCGTGAAAAGAAATATGTTTTATGGTGTTTTTCTGGTCTAGGTTCTCAGAGACACGTGAACAAAATTTGGATATTTTATGGACGTGGCTATAGATATTATTTATTAGGTGTCGCAAATAAGATTTAATTATCTGGGAGATTTTCCGTTAAATGAAGGATTTTGAATTTAATAGGAACTCAATATTATATTTATTAAATCGAATTAATAAATTATTAAGGTACTTGGGTGCAGTAGGTTACAGTTGCGATATTTTTTAATGGTTTTTTATTCTTTTATGTAGATATTTTTTTGTTTGTCCAATGTAAGTGGAATTATAGTCTTTGCAGTCAATTTGATAGACAACGTTTGGTTGATTTATTTTACTAATTTCTATTTCTATTTTTAATTAAAAAATCTAACAATCACTAAATCAAATAAAAATATCAGTAATCTTCAAAATAAAATTCAATCCACTAAAAAATAAATCTATAAAAAATATGATTAAGGTTTTGTACAAAATTATCTTTACAATAAACATCAAAAATTTAAACACACTTTTCAAAAAATTAAACTGAAAATAAAACCAAGATTGATTTATTAATAAGAAAATAATATCGCATAAAGGATTCTAATAACTTGAATGAAAACTGGTTCCATAATCTAACACAAATAAAATAAATAAAATATTTTTTAAGTCTAGGACCAGAATTCTTCATTCCAACTTTAGTGTTGTGACAGGCTTCTGGTCCACCTACAGTAAATCAGCGAGTCTGTGTGGCGCTATGAAGGTGATTTTCGAATAGGGGTTGCTCAGGCGCCAGTTTTGGTATCGCAGTTTGCTCTCCCTGTGGTACACCAGAGTGTACTCAAGGTGAACTCAGTGGAGGTAAATAATTCCAGGCGGTCACTGCTAGGTAGCCACTATACTAGAATAAATAAAAATAAAACACTTATCTCCTATACACCTCGTACCCTACGGTACCCTGAAAGAGAACGGTTAAGAACCAGTAATAAGAGAAACACAGGAATAGGTAATAAAATATATATTTACAAAAAAATAATACAACGGTAATTAAATATGAATGGCTCCCTATATGCAGAAAACTTATTAAAAATAAATTATTAGCAATGAAAACTAATTAAATATTAACGGCTCTCTATATGCGGAAAAATTTAATAAAAATAAATTATTACCAATGAAAACTAATTAAATATTAACGGATCTCTATATGCGGAAAAATTTAATAAAAATAAATTATTACCAATGAAAACTAATTAAATATTAACGGTTTAAAGTATCTCTCATGTAGACATCTGGTAGTCCATAGCTTCTACAAGAGAGAAACCCTTTCAACGAGCTGTTATAAAGACTAGGGGCTGAAACAGCTCTGATTATCAACTGGGGGGAGCAAGCGAATACCGCTATCACCCCCTGATTAACGGGAAAATGGATGAAGGGTGCGAGTGGCCCCGGATTTAAATCCAAATTACTCTATTACCTTGTTAGTTACTAAGGAAATTAAAAGTTCGTATTACCTTTTACTAGTACGGGAAAATATTTACGGTTCGCTAGCATAGAAGGCCAAGCGGTCCGGGAATTATGAAACTCCCTATATATGGAAAATTTATTAAAAATAAATTAATACACTCGAGAACAATTTAAGTATGACGGTAATCAAATGAAAGCAAATAAATGAAATCAAAGTTTTCAGAACGTCCCTGTATCTTAGATCAGACGGATCGACGCTCTGGCAATCATTGAACGAGAATGATAATTTTCAGCGCGGTGTTTGAGACAAAAGTGCGATGGTTAACGTAAAAATTATTATGAGATTTTCCCAGAGTCGATCGAGAGCGTGTGTGAATTTAATTTTACAGAAAACGTTGGGCTTCGTTTAACAATTAATTGTTTACGGGAAACGGAATGATTCAAATATAATTGAGTGAATAAATAAAAGAAAAGAGAAAATTACATGAAAAATACTGGGTGCTTTTTATAAAAAAAAATGCTAACGGTTTCCCACTAAGGGATGAAATGAA